GTGGTATGCGGGCCTCTCACCGCTGTGGCCTCTCCCGTTGTGGAGCACAGGCTCTGGACGCGCAGGCTCAGAGGCCATGGCCCACGGGCCCAGCCGCTCCGCGGCACATGGGATCCTCCCAGACCAGGGCACGAACCCGCGTCCCCTGCATCAACAGGTGGACTCCCAATCACGGCACCACCAGGGAAGCCCTAAGTCATTCTTTTAAAAAAAAAAATCACTGAAGGACTTCCCTGGTGGTCCAGTGGCTAGGACTCCACGCTCCCAATGCAGGGGGCCTGGGTTCAACCCCTGGTCAGGGAACTAGATCCCACATGCATGCTGCAACTAATAGTTTGCATGCCACAACTAAGGAGCTGGTGAGCTGCAACTAAGGAGCCCACCAGACACAACTAAGGAGCACACATGCCGCAACCAAGGAGCAGGCAAGCTGCAACTAAGGAGCCCATGAGCTGCAACTAAGGAGCTGCCTGCCGTAACTAAGGAGCCCACACACAAAAAAAATCACTGAATCAGAGAAATGTTCTTCCCTGATATCTAGTCTTGCACAGATTATATGAATTTGGCATATTATATGAATGATTAAAAATACTTTAGCTAGCAAATCAGTGGTTGCTTGGGGTTGGGGATTAGGATTGACTGCTAAAGGGCATGATAGAGCTTTTGAAAAGATAAGAAATATTCTCTAATTGATTGGGATGGTGGTTACAAAGTTACATATTTGTAAAATTTCAACAATCTGTACACTTGAAATGGGTGCATTTAATTATCTGTAAATTATACCTTAATAAAGTTGTTTTAAAAAGAAAAAAATTGGGCTTCCCTGGTGGTGCAGTGGCTGAGAGTCCACCTGCCGATGCAGGAGACATGGGTTTGTGCCCCGGTCTGGGAAGATCCCACATGCCGCAGAGCGGCTGGGCCCGTGAGCCATGGCCGCTGAGCCTGTGCGTCCAGAGCCTGTGCTCTGCAACAGGAGAGGCCACAACAGTGAGAGGCCCACGTACTGCAAAAAAAAAAAACAACAACAACAAAAAAAAAAGAAAAAAGAAAAAAATTATTTTAGCTAGCAAAGTAGTATACTTTACCTTGAAGTTGGGTAACTTCAGTGTTTTAATTAAATTCAGACAGAAAGCAATCCCTAAGATATCCTGTAAAATCCAAGCCCACCTAAAATCAAAAGAAATTACTCTATTGTTTTACTCAGTTATTTTTAAATGGAACATTTCAAAAGAAACAGATTACTGAAGTAATACTGTTCAATTGCTATGATATGAGTATTCAATTATTAAGCAGCAATTATAACAACAGAAAAACCTCTTATATTCTCCATATTTAGTAATTTACTGTCCTAGTAGAATAATGACTACTACTACTACTACACTAAGAAAAAGTTGAAAGGCTACCTCAGAAGAATGTATATCAGACGTAAGTGCATATTTATCTTTAATCTTTGAATTTATACATGTCTCTTTTAAGAAAGGTAGCTCATAACAAAGGACATTGATGTTAATATACATCCAGATAGCTAAAACATAAAGGAAATGAGAGCTATACAACATACTCTACGAGAAACTGACAACTGACATGAATAATTATCAGTTGATTATCATACCCGAAGCTGCCTAAAATTGTATGAGCTTTGCTCCCAAACTTTAGGCTGTTAAATCCTTTTGGGTATTAATAATTTTATTAATAAACTGTTAAATTTTTTATTCTGGTTATTCTTCCTGCAAATGGACAGATACCTGTATATTTTCTGATATTTCCTTTCTCATATGAAAGGTAGCATACTCTAGATATTCTTTCATATTTTTCTTTTTTCACTTAAAAATATATCCTGGAAATCACTGCATATTAATTCAGAGAGATCTTCATTCTTTACAGCTGCATTGCACTCCACTGTGTGGCTATACCATAATTAAGTATATTTTTGAAGCGTATTTCAGCTTAGATGTTTAAATCCTAATTCATTATTTCCTTCTCTAGACAACCTCAAATCCATTAGCACAAGATCTGTTTATTTAAGAATTTATTTAGCATGTTTCAAGACTATGATGTTCTGGGATAAAAGCCAAAAAAATCCATAATAATCATAATGAACAATTATCAAGGCAAGATATAAAGTAATCCATCCTTAGACTAATCTAAAAGTAAATACAATGAGTATTCATACCTATCTTCATTTCGAAATACAGCCCAAACAACAGCTATTGCTATGCACAGTACAGAGAGAAAAATAAGTCTCACTTCAACGCTTTTGCCATGACACATAATCCTAAAAGAGAGAGTGAAATAGGTTAATTCACCCCGTAGATGAAACACAATGTTCAGTTAATGTAACAAATCAATGTTAGCCACAGTGACAAGAAAACTTTTGAAATATCAATTTAAAAGTCTTGATTTTAAGTACAACAAATGATACATAAAATATTTATCAGTTCAGTAGAACTGTGATGATGAAAATGCTTTATATCTGTGCTGTCCAATACTGTAGCCACTAGCAACATGTGGTTATTTAGCACTTGAAATGCGGATAATGAGACTGGGCAACTGAATTTTTAATTTTATTAATTTAATTATTTTAAATTAAAATAGCGACATGCATATTGGACTGCACAGGTTTAAAATAACGCTATTTTTCCTTGTATTGTTTTAAATTACAAAACCCAACATTATAGGCTTCCTCATAAAAGATACATACATGCATTGTCCACATGGTATCTTCTGAATTAGTGCAGCAAGACAGTTGTACAGACTCATCGCTGATGCTATGCAGAAAATCGCTATCATAACATAAACTAGAAAAAAAAAGACACTAAATTGTATGAGAACAGAAAGAAACATGATAAGAAAATATTTATACAATCAATATTAATTCTTTAGCTTTTTTACTGGATCATAATACTTTCAATGCAGAGACCATACCATAATCTGAATTGGTTACTAAACTGAAAATATTTAGATCTTGAGCTTTAAGGGTGGGTATTTTATGTGTTGTTTTAGTTCCATTACACACAGGTAGGATTTCTTTAGGGGCTGAAGCTGGCTCCACATTTTCTTTCTTTTTTAAAAAATTTACTATTTTTTTTTTTATTGAACTATAGTTGATTTACAATATTATATTAGTTTCAGGTGTACAGCTTCAGATTCTTTTCCATTATAGGTTATTACAAGATATTAAACATAGTTCCCTGTGCTATACAGTAAATCCTTGTTTATCTTTTTAATATATAGTGGTGTGTATCTGTTAATCCCATACACCTAATTTATCCCTCCCCCTTCCCTTTCCCCTTTAGTAACCATAAGTTTCTTTTCTATGTCTGTGAGCCTGTTTCTGATTTGTAAATAAGGTGATTTGTATTATGTTTTAGATTCCACATATGTGATATCATATAATATTAGTCTTTCTGTCTGACTTACTTCACTTAGCATGACAATCTCTAGGTCCATCCATGTTACTGCAAATGGCATTATTTCATCCTTTTTAATGGCTGCGTAATATTACACTGTGTGTGTGTGTGTGTCTGTGTATATATATATATACATATATATACACAGACACACACACACACACATATATATATATACCATATCTTCTTTATCTATTCATCTATAGATGGGCAACTTAGGTTGCTTTTATAATTTGGCTATTGTAAATAATGCTGCAATGAACATAGGGGTGCATATATCTTTTCTAATTAAGTTTTAATTTTCTTAGAATAAATATCCAGAAGTGGAATTACTGGATCATATGGTAGCTCTAATTTTAGCTTTTAAGGACCCTCCATACTGTTTTCATAGTGGCTACACCAATTTACATTCCCACCAACAGTGTAGGAGGGTTTCCTTTTCTCCACATCCTCTCCAACATTTATCTGTAGACTTTTCGAAGATGGCCATTCTGACAGGTGTGAGATGAAACCTCATTGTAGTTTTGATTTGCAGTTTTCTAATAATTAGTGATGTTGAGCATCTTCTCAAGTGCCTATTGACCATCTGAATGTCTTCTTTGGAGAAATGTCTATTTAGGTCTTCTGCCCATTTTTGGATTAGGTTGTTTTTTTTGATATTGAGTTGTATGAGCTGTTTGTGTGTTTTGGATATTAACCCCTTGTTGGTTGCATCTTTTGCAAATATTTTCTCCCAGTCCATAGGCTGTCTTTTCACTTTGTTTGTGGTTTCCTTTGCTGTGCACAAGCTTATAAATTTGATTAGGTCCCATTTGTTTAGTTTTGCTTTTATTTCTTTTGCCTTCGGAGACTGATTTAAGAAAATATTGCTACGATTTATGTCAGTGGCTCTGCATTTTCTATCATTCAATGATTCAAACTCACATGTTTGTTAAAGATGTCTATAAAGTGAGCTGTAGACATTTGTGAGTATTTAATTTAAATGTAACGAATGGAGCAATTAATAAAACATTATAAATGCTTTTTAAATTGCAGCTTAAGGATGAGAACTGACACCTACCTTAGACGTTAATCATGATGTCTATATTTTCCTACGGTGGAATTTATCTCTAACAACTTTATATGTGTAAAACTAAATCCACTTAAACAAACCTCTTTGTCTAGATACGATACTAAGGTAGTTAAAATTCACAAATGTTTTTCTATATTAGCTATACTTATTTGAGAATTATTTAAAATTAAAAACATTTGGGGTTTCCCTGGTGGCGCAGTGGTTGAGGGTCCGCCTGCTGATGCAGGGGACACGGGTTCGTGCCCCGGTCTGGGAAGATCCCACATGCTCGTGGAGTGACTAGGCCCATGAGCCATGGCCACTGAGCCTGCGCGTCTGGAGCCTGTACTCCGCAACGGGACAGGCCACAACAGTGAGAGGCCTGCATACCGCAAAATAAATAAATAAAAAAAAACCCAAACATCTGATCTCACTATTGTTAAAAAGGGGGAGAAATTATTGTACTCTAAAAGTGTTCATTTTCTGAACTTTCTCAAAATTTCACAATGGAAATACAAATTTTAACTGAATTTTGCAAATTCCACTAGATTTCAGAAAACTATAACTGTTTTGTATGTGAGAAAAGAGAGTAAACTAGAGACAGTAAATAAGGGATAGACACTTTCTAATTGGTGATCTTGGACAAATTATTTTTTCGTTTCCTTATTATTCGTTATTGTTATTATTGGATATATATGGTAATCTGAGTAGTAAGACTGACAGTCAAAGATTGCCAAGTTGAGTTTGGTAGTCATCCACCAAAGGTCTCCAACCCAAGATTTAAAACTCTGGTGGAAATCATGCTCTGGAGGCCCTAAGAGAGTTTTAAGGTGTCTCATTCAATGTCATACTATACCTAAGAAAATGATTTGACATGAGAAAGAATTTGGTTAATATAACTATCTTTAGTTACTTTCTTGAGTATGACAACATAAAATGATAAGGAGAACCTTAGCAAGTTAGTACATTGAACATATTAAGAAATGGCAGCAATTTTAGCCATAACGAACCATTTGAAAGTATATTAAATCTTGCAATATCACACACCATTGTCAGAGTCATAATTAAATCCTATGTCCTAGGATAAACATGAGGTTAATTGATCGTCCTCCTACATTGAAAATTACAGTTATAAGCAGGGTTAACTTTTTAAATAAGGATGGGTTTAAGGAAATTCCTCACCAAAAATGAAAACATGCTTTAGGGTAAGGTAGAAAAATCTCTTTTTTCTGTCAAAGACCTCTATATATATCAACTGAGGGTCAGACACAAACAATTGAAAGCTGAGAATTAAATCAGAAAAATTAGCTGTGCAATGACGACCTAATACAAATATCACCCTGGTATCCACTCTCCCAGCAACATATTCAAATATGAGTGATATTCAAGGAAAAATTTTTCTAATTGGAAATATATGTCTTAAGTATAGTTTTAAAACTGCTGCCACAGGACAGGAGAAATTGAACAATAAGCTGAAACTAACCTTGGGGCCTCAGTTTTCTAGTCCAGAAACTTATACTAATATTCTCTAAATAAGCATTGTCTATGGTGGTGGTTTTTACAAAGGGTTTTTAATTCTCATCAGGCACACTCTCTCTTTCTCTGAGCTCCCTCCTCTTTTTGCTATATGTTGGCCACAAATAGCAAATTTCCATCCTATCAGACCACTAAGAAGACTGGCCAGGGGATGGAAAAGCCATTATCCTACCTTCTTAAAGGAAAAAGTATAATTTATTCTCTAGACCACAGGCAAGTACCTGTGTGTTTTTAGATGTAGTATGATCTTAAATGTTTATATAAGTAAAACAAAATTGGAGCAATACAACATCTTGGTTTGCAAAATGACAAAAAGAACAAACAACACTTTGGGGGTAAGCAGAAGCAATAAATCCATAATTTGAATAATCTTCCATTTCATATAACTATATATAGCCACCAAGAAATCCTTAGTCTGCTGCTTAGATACTGGCCTATTATGCTTTAACTGCAGAGAGGGAAACTTAGGGGCCATAGTAATTCTTTCAAGTCATCCATGAAGAATTGTTCTTATTTCAAGACACAGTATATTTTTTTCCTTTTTTTTTTTTAAATTGGGGTATAGTTGCTTTACAATGTTGTGCTAGCTTCTGCTGTACAGCGAAGTGAATCAGCTATACGTATACATACATCCCCTCTTTTTTGGATTTCTTTCCTGTCTAGGTCACCACAGAGCATTAGTAGAGTTCTCTGTGCTATACAGTATGTTCTCATTAGTTATCTATTTTATACATATTAGTGTATATATGTCAATCCCAATCTCCCAATTCATCCCATCCTCCCTTCCCACCTTGGTGTCCATACGTTTGTTCTCTACACCTGTAGGAAACACTCTTTTTTAATGTTTACTATTTAAAAATTTCTTTTCTTTTTTTAAAATTTTTTTATTGGGGTATAGTTGTTTTAAAATGTTGTGTTAGTTTCTACTGCACAGCAAAGTGAAGTAGAGTTCCCTGTGCTATACAGCACGTTCTTATTAGTCATCTATTTTATACATAGTAGTGCATACATGTCAATCCCAACCTCCCAGTTCATCCCACCACCACCCCCACACCAGACAGAGTATTTTTTTAATCCCAGAGTAATAGGGGCCTAACACTTCTGACAGTTTAAAAAGTTCATATCACTCTTTAACTATTCACTTAAGTTTTCCAGGTAGAATGCCTTAAAGGAAAAGATAAATCTGGCAAAGTAAATAAAAAGATGTATGCTAAAAGTAGCAAATATAAAATATGATTTCTTACCCAACCATTTGTAGAAGAAATAAAGTAAGACCATCATAATACAGCAGATGACCACAAATATTACAACTGTTAGAGGACTAAAAGTAAAATATTCTTCCTTCTTTTTCCTCATTTCTCTATCTTCAGTGTTTGTCACTGCCTTCATGCTTTCCCTGCATAAACATACACAGGAACTTCAGCAAATCTCTGCCAAGTATAGCTATTTTAAAAATCTATCTCTAACACCAACTTAGATTTGTTTCTGATTACAAAGTAATATACTTAAAAATTACACACCAAAAAGAAATATTTAATCTAGAAAGTAAAAGCTCCCTATAATTCTACCCTCAAGAGTTGATCTGTTATTAACCACTAACTTTTGAAACAGCATTTTTTTCTGGAGGCAAAATTGTTGAAACAGATGACATTTATTACATAAACAAATTAATGTTTATATTATCTAATTTGGAAACTACATTGATGTAATAAGTTTCAAATGATAACCAATTCTTTTTACACAATATTACCAACTTGCAGATAGGAAAGTACTTTTAAAATTAGCTTCTCTTCAACGTAAAACACTAAATTCTTCTCTCAGTCAACTCAGTATTTTCTATATGTCTGTTCAGGGCTCACTGACATACTATGAAGGATTCAAAAGGAGTTCAAGACATAGCTTTGTCCTACTTTGATATAAGACAGCAAAATAGTTTCTAATTCTCCCAACAACATTGCTGGGTCACACAGCTAATAAAAGGCAGACACAGGAGTTGAAGAGGAAAGGGTCACAAGCTTCCTTTGTTGAGCAGTGAGTCTCTGTTCTGTCACCTAATTGTCTCTTCCCAGTTATATGGAACCCACTACATACTTTTCCAGCTCCAGTTCCTTCAACTCTGGTCTACTAAATTCTGTTCCCTTTTCGTATATCCTGACCCTTTTCATCAGGTCTGGGCTCAATACAAACTTTAGGTTAAAAAAAGATTTATTTCTATGAAACTGTACATTTGCCAAACTGCTTATTTACCAACATGCCACTTTCTTATTAGAAAACTGTGGATTGGGATGGTTACTATTCTAGGCATCTGTGACTCTAGGGAGGCTGCCTGGGAAAAGAGCTGGGAGAGGATCTGGGGAGAGACACACAGTACCTCCCTGAAACTGTAGAGCTGGATGACAGGGTATTAACAAAAGTTTCAATGAAAGTAGTACCTGAGTGGGAAAACATGCCAACCTTTGGTATCTATCATTGCAAACAGATTCATTTAAAGACATTTCTATCACAGAACATATATAAGCCATAATAATCAAAGAGTCATATATTCATATTCAGTGTACTAAAAAGCACCAGGCAATTTCTTGAAGGAAAACATATACTAGATTTATATCATGTTAAAATAATATAATTCATCTTTTTAAAAAATTGTACTCTTAAATCAGCTCAAGAGCCACATGCAATGAGAAGCTAAGCTTTCTTTCCTGCCATCTTGAGTTTATGATGAGAACGCAGTTATAAGAAGGACTCATTATAATAGACTTTAACTCTCTACTGAAAAGTCTTTATACGGAATCAAAGCATTCTTCCTTTTTGCAAAAAGTACCTCTTTCATTTGGCAGGGTAATTCTGGGTTATGAGATCCTGTTCTGATAAATTTTCCATTCCCTAAGCCTTATTCTCTTTTCCCTTTTCTTTCAGTCTAACTCTCTTTACTTGCTAAATAACAGTCCTTGTGTTATTTTTTAAATTAAGATATAATTGACATAACATCATATTAGTTTCAGATGTATGACACGATTTAATATCTGTATATATTGCAAAATGATCACCACAATAAGTCTAGTTCACATCCATCACCACACAGTTAAAACATTTTTTTTCTTGTGATGAGAACTTTTAAGAACTACTTTCTTAGTAACTTTCAAATATGCAGTACAGTATTATTAACTATGGTCACCATGCTGTACATTACATCCCCAGGACTTATTTATTTTATAACTGGGAGTTTGTACCTTCACCCATTTTTCCCCCTCCCCACCTCCCCACCTCTGGTAACCACCCATCTGTTCTCTGCTCTGAGATCTTTTTTTTTTTTTTTAAGATTCCACACATAAATGAGATCATTTGGTATTTCTTTGTCTGACTTATTTCACTTAGCGTAATGCCATCAAAATCCAGCCATGTTGTTGCGAACAGTCCTTATGTCCTCAATAATTCTTTTTATGAAACTTTCTCCATTTTATTACTGATTCATACTCTCTTTCTCTATACTGTCACCCCCCCCACCACCAACACACACACTTAGTTCTTTCTATCTTTATCCTGCTCTTAGAATCAGCCTCCTCAATTTCAAAATCCATAATCCTGAAGGTAAAGGACATCTCCTCTCCCAACCTGGCTACTGAAGGCAACACATTCTTTGTTTTTGCCCATCATGTTTTATGAATACAAGAACTTATACGTGCTGCTCTCCCACCTCCAATTTTCTTGAGGAGGAGCCTGCCCTGACATGTATATGAAGCTTGCCTTGCTAACTCAAAGTGTGGTCCATGGGCCAGTTTGTCAAAAATGCAGAGTCTCAGCACGCATCCCAAGCCTACTAAATCTGAATTTTTAAAAATTTTAATGAGCTCTCAAGACAGTTTGTATGCACATTACAGTTTGAGAAGCACTACTCTAGAGAAGAAACAATTTACATTATAATGTAAGTATAGTGAAGATATATACTAAATGGAAAAACATTTTCAATGAATCAGTAGCTTTTGGGAAACTATAAAGTTTCACCATATAATCTAGAAAATGATTTTGGAGATCCTATATACTATGCTTTATAAAGATTAATAATGAAGAAAAATAATGCTTACTCATGTGAAATCATGTGACTAATACATGCTGAAATGTGTTTTCCAAATATGTAAAATATTTTAAGCTCAATACACTAGGAATCTACACCTGTTAAACCCTAGACTTCTCTCTTGATGAAAGTCAATCAAATTTTAGTACTTTAAGAAATTACAAATAAGCTTATTAGCTTCGGCTAGCATCAAGTAAGCCCTTTTAATGGAATCTATAGATCAATTCACAAGTGAACATATCGTCCTTTATGCATAAAATAATATTCTCTGAGCACAATTTTTTACTCAGAGTTATAAATATGAACTGATCCTTATAAACTACATTGCTGGGACTTTCCTGGTGGTCCAGTGGTAAAGAATCTGCCTTATAGTGCAGGGAATGTGGGTTCGATCCCTGGTCAGGGAACTAAGATCCCAAATGCCACGGGGCAACTAAGCCTGTGTGCCACAACTACTGAGCTCACGCACCACAACTAGAGCCCGCATGCCGCAAACTACAGAGCCCACGTGCTCTGGAGCCTGTGCGCCACAACTAGAGAGAAGCCTGTGCCCCAACAAAAGATCCTGCATGGCTCAACGAAGATCCTGCGTGTCACAACTAAGACCCAATGCAGCCAAAAATAAATTAAATAAATAAATAATAAATAAATCTTTTAAAAAATAAATAAACTACATTGCTTGCTTTAGCCTATAGCCAAAGGTACGTAACTGTAAGAAGACTGGGCCTAGGTTGTTATTAAATAGAGAAATCTAAATTTCACATACATTTGGCATTTCTATATTTAAATTAAAATATGGACATGTTTAATTAATATCCTTAGAATTACTAAAGCATTAAATAGAATGATGAGGTCACATTGTAATGACTCAACTCAGGAGGAGCTGAAAAACTTCCCACCTTCTTTTGTTTATTTTCTTCCAATCTAAATAGGCACATTAGAATGTTAACTATCTCCACCTTTTCTGGGAGAGGTAATTAAACATTTAAATTTAAGAGTCTCTGGTGAAATTTCAATGTTTCCTTCCCAGCAGAAGAACAAGAGGAACCTATGACTCCCTTCTTCTCAGTGAAAAGTTAAAGACCTGTATGAGGACAAACCTGCAATCTAATGGTCAGCACTATATTCTAAGAACAAGCAGAACTTTAAGTGTTGTTGCACGATAAAATGATTAACAAACAATTTTTAACCATTTATCTTAAAAACAATGAAGTTTAATTAAGCTTACAATTCAATTAGCCCACTCCAGTATCCTCCTAATGCCACAGTGAACACAGCAATTACAAAAATAACCACCATAGTATAGTCAAAGTTAGGCCACGATGGAGAATACATTTTCACAGTAATGTTATCTCCGAGAGTCTGAAAGGCAAAATAACAGTTAATACACTGGAATTAGTTTTCTTTTTACTATAGCATATGGCAGCAATATTCCAATTTCATTCTGGAATGGACACTATACATAAGATAGCCAAGAATAATAGAACTGTTTTGACATGATATATAGTCTCTTGTCAAAATTATGAGGCTATGCTTTGGTTTATTAAATCTTGAAAGTGCAATGTTCCACACATCACATTTTTGTTCAAGGATTTAAAGTTAAATGATACAACACAAAGATTTTTTTTTTTTTTTTTTTTTGCGATATGTGGGCCTCTCACTGTCGTGGCCTCTCCCGTTGCCGGACGCGCAAGCTCAGCGGCCATGGCTCACGGGCCCAGCCGCTCCGCGGCATGTGGGATCCTCCCAGACCGGGGCACGAACCCGTATCCCCTGCATCGGCAGGCGGACTCTCAACCACTGCGCCACCAGGGAGGCCCCAACACAAAGATTTTTAAAGAGGTCAAAGTAAAGAAATATCCCTTCTAAAGTCAGGACTCTGAAACACCTTGTGCTCAATGGGGGGGTGCATACTTTCCAAATAAAAACTTGATAGGCCTTTATAACTTCCTGTTAGCAAATGGAACATATATAATAAATTAAATTAAATATCATGGTTAAAAGTAAAAAGTTGTACTATTTATAAGCTTTATCTAATATATAATTACTAATTTACCTGCTTCGTATCTTTAAAGTCTTTGTAGTTTATAAATGCAATCAGTATTTTCACATCATGAAATTCAGATTTGTTCCCTGAGGGAGGAAACTAAAAGAAAAAAACATACTGTGAAGACTTATGAACTACTAGTGTACTTACAGAATAAAACACAAGTTATTTATCAAGTACAAACATTACATCTTTTTAAAGTAATAAAATGAAGTTTCATGTGTTCTTAATGTTATAGTAAGAGTTCTCAAACTGGAATCCTTTTAGCATAAACTTAAACTGATACTTTATACACACATACGCACACACACACTTCCTAACATAGTCTTGCCTACTTTAGGAATGGAAAAGAAACAAAATTTTCCAATTAAACTCCTATCATAACCAGAATGTTTATTTAAAAAGAATCCTACCATCAGATTATTCAAAACTCAGCCCCTAAACCACACACAAAGAAGATAGTTCAATTCCTGTGAAATTTGATATCATGAACTCAAAAGAAGTTATTATAGTTTTATAACTTACAAGGACACTGTTATTGGCAACCAACAATGCTTCAGCACCTCCTGTTTGTGCAATTCTGGCTTTTTCAAGAAAATGGCAGGTTCCCCACTGTACCACAACTGCTTTGTTCTTTATTCCATCAGGAGGAATATCAGAAAGGTTGCACAGTGGTGTGGTAGTCAGATTCATCAAACTAATGGAAGTCTGGAAAGAAGAAATGTCTTTAATATTATAAATATCATATTTCACCCTAAATGCATTCAATGACAAAGTGTCAACATTGGTTTAATACAAGGCTCTTTTTTTAAATTTAATTTTATTTATTTATTTATTTTTGGCTGTGTTGGGTCTTCGTTGCTGCACACGAGCTTTCTCTAGCTGTGGTGAGTGAGGGCTACTCTTCATTGCGGTGCGTGGGCTTCTCATTATGGTGGCTTCTCTTGTTGCGGAGCATGGGCTCTATCACGCGGGCTTCAGTAGTTGTGGCACGTGGGCTCAGTAGTTGTGGCTCACGTGGCTCACGGGCTCCAGAGCACAGGCTCAGTAGTTGTGGAGCACAGGCTTAGGTGCTCCATGGCATGTGGGATCTTCCCAGACTAGGGCTCGAACCCATGTCCCCTGCATTGGCAGCTGGATTCTTAACCACTGTGCCACCAGGGAAGTCCCAAGGTTCTTTTAAATTAGAAATATTTGATGACAATCAGGCTTTGAGGCAAGTATTTTTATTTATTTATTTATTTATTTTTTTTTTGAGGCAAGTATTTTTAAATTCTCTAACTTGTTTTTCTCACAGAGAGAATACTTAAGCAAAAGCAATAAATATTTATTAATCATAATATAACTAGTTTACATTCTAAAACATAATACTCATTCTTACCATTCAATATTTTTATGTTTATAAATAAATAGAAGCTGTGATTTACTTACTGCATTTTCTAGGGTACTTGGAAGAGCTGTCCAATGAGGGTTATATAGCATGCAGTAGTCCTTAGACGGGGAAGGCATGCCATTTCCAGATGCATGCAGGATTGCTTCCTGAGCAGCTGTCTAGGACACAAACAATAATTTTCACAGTGGCAATAATTCGGCTTGCCAAGAACTAAGGATTTTAATAAAGCTATTTATATACAGGTTTGACCACATTTCCTTAAGGGGGAAGGTCCTCCAATAAATTGATTTCTTCTTGTTTGAGGAAATGGTAAAACTGCACATGGTTGCCCAGAACACATTCTTTAAGGAAGATAAGTCACTTTCTTACAGGCCCTTGTTATAAGGGCCATATCCCAGGGAGGAATCTTGTTATGATTTTATAAGTTCAATACTCCCTTTACAGTCTGAAACTTTATTTCCCAATCTCTTATGAGTTATTATTCCATTGTTCGTATTCTATAAAAGAAAATGAACTTGAAGTCCCTCAACCTATATTACCTTCCATATTCTACGAGTAACTGGGGTAAATAAAAAGGTATCATTATTTCTAAGTGCTATCTTTGGAAGAGAACCAGAGAAACTAGAAATCTCAAGTTTTCAAGACCCTGCAACTGCCTATTCCAAAAGACCAGTCTAGAGTTTAGAGTGGAAAAAGAAAATATAGAAACATGTTCTTTCCCTTTGCCTCATTTCTCACTAGCTAGAAAAGAGAGACAAGAGGTAACAAGTGACTAAAAAGAACATCCATTGTACATGGGGGTGGGGGGTGGGAGTGGAGCCTATGACATGAAGAAACAGCCTAAGATAACTAGAATACCACTCCACATCCCAATTCCTTTCAAACTTGGATCAGTCCAGATCCTTCCTCTCTCCTCCTTTGAGAAAATCTTTACAACATAAGGGAGAAAAATGATTGTTTGGCAGATAAATATGTTGTACTACTAAGCCTCTGCCACTAAAGCATGCATTAGGTCGAGCTACAGGAAATTGCTGATATTTGATCATTTTTGATCTATAAAATTGTTTATTACACAGAACTCAATTTAAATGTCTAAGAAGTACAGAAATGCTCTAATCCATGCTCTTCTACCTGAAATCTCCCTTGAACATTCGAGATTAGAAAACTTTCTAGCATACTTGGGACTTTATTAGCTTATGGATCTAAACAAGTATAGGGAATTCTTGAAACATGCCATCAGATTACATAAAGTAATTACATAAGGAATCTACTTCTGGAAAAAAGAAATGTAGTTTTCATTCAGCTATATACTTGGTGGCTATGAATGGATTCTGACAGGAGAGGTAAACTGATATGTTAAATTCTTACTGTACACAAACTATTTTTAGGTGTAAACAAACTACACAAATTCAACAAAGTATATTTAGGTTATGGTCATACATTTATTTGATTCATTGTCACTGTTTTATAAATGATGGCTCTGAGACTCAGAGTAGTTACTAACAACCTACGTAAGGTCACACTGACATCATCTACAGTTCTAACTATTGCTGGTAATTTTACAGATAATCATAAAGGTTGATTAGACTTAGGTTAAACATTTTTTTAAAGAATACTATGTAAGTGAATTGGGTACTTCTTATTGCACCCAACAAAATGGCGCATGATATCAGGATGTCCCTCTATTAGCAATGCTGAGTTTGATTATTTGGTTAACATAGTAACTGCAGGGTTTCTCCAGTGTAAAGTTAAATATTTTTTCCCCTTGTGATTAGTAAGTAATCTGTAGCACAATGTGAACAGTTCAGCAACTTCTCACCTAGTGTTTTAGCCTCCATGCCTGAATTTAATTTTACATGTTATGTTGGGGGTTGTGAAATGGTGAATGTCAATCCTCTATATTTATTAGCTGGTACTCTTCTTTTTTTAAAAAAATAAATTTATTTATTTTATTCATTTATTTTTGGCTGCGTTGGGTCTTCACTGCTGCGCATGGGCTTTCTCTAGTTGCAGCAACCGGGGGCTACTCTTCGTTGCAGTGTGCAGGCTTCTCATTGCAGCGGCTTCTCTTGTTGCGGAGCACGGGCTCTAGGCACGCAGGCTTCAGGAGTTGTGGCACACGGGCTCTAGAGCACAGGCTCAGTAGTGTGGCACATGGTCTCAGTAGTTGTGGCTCGCAGGCTCAGTAGTTGTGGCATGCGGGCCCTAGAGCACAGGCTCAGTAGTTATGGAGCACAGGCTTAGTTGCTCCGCGGCATGTGGGATCCTCCCAGACCAGGGCTCAAACCCGTGTCCCGTGCATTGGCAGGTGGATTCTTAACCACTGCACCACCACAGAAGCCCTTGTACTCTTCTTTTCTAAAAAAAAAAAAAAGCTTTACTCTCTCTCTCTACCACCTTTTGTTTACTATCACTAGAGATTAATTGATTTTTTTAAATGCAATGTAGTGCAATTACAATTATTCGTTTGATGTTCAGATTTGGCCAGCAGAGCCTCTTGCACCTTGCTCTTTGTATCCTTTTGGCAAGACCCCATTAGTCTTTGAGGACTTCCTTGTTTTAGGCTGACTTTATCCTTTACCTGCCATAGATTGGAACCAGTCATTCTACTAAGCTCCTTTAGAGAGAACTGTATTTAAATTAAGATTTGGGTTTTAACAATGCACACTGCTGAAGTGGTATAACCTTTACAATAGACAATTGGCAATATCAAACTTTTTTAATACTTATAATTCTCTGATTCATATCCTACAGATGTACTACATAATGCACAAAGATTATACAAAGATAAATGTACAAGGATATTCACTGCAATATGTTATAGCAAAAACAAAAAACATCTTCCACAGATAAGAATCCATTACATTATGGTATGCATAGTACACAGCTATTAAAAAGAAAGAACTAGAGGACTTCCCAGGTGGTGCAGTGGTTAAGAGTCTGCCTGCCAATGCAGGGGGCACAGGTCCGAGCCCTGGTCTGGAAATATCCCACATGCCGTGGAGCAACTAAGCCCATGCGCCACAACTACTGAAGCCTGAGCGCCTAGAGTCCGTGCTCCACAGCAAAGAGAAGCCACCGCAATGAGAAGCCCACACACCACAACAAAAAGTAGCCCCACTCGCCGCAACTAGAGAAAGCCAGTGAGCAGCAATAAAGACCCAACGCAGCCAAAAATAAATAAATAAATTTATTAAAAAATTAAAAAAAAAGAAATAACTAGATCTACCTGTAGAAATAGATGTCCATGGTGAGAAAAGCAAGTTCCAGAAAGATATTTACAGTGTTTTCTATTTTTATAAAAATGACCCCCCCTCAAAGCTCCCTATATGTATTTGTACTGTTATGTGAACTTAAAGAATGATGTGGAGAGAGATCAGGCTATTAAAAAAAAGGAGAGGAAAACAAAAGCAAAGATGAGGGTGTAAAAAGACTGGAATGAGAAAATTAAAAAAGGAAAAAAACAATCAAACAAAACAAAAAGGTATGAAGTCCCTCTCCTCACATCCTGGTTCTTACAGTCACCCCTTAGGGGCTTCTCTTATGTCTTTCCAGATACTATCTATGAATATTTAAGATAGATAGATATTGGGTTGGCCAAAAAGTTCCTTCGGTTTTTAAGTAAAGATAAAGACACATTTTTCATTTTCACCATGAACTTTATTGAACAATGTATTCACCCTTTTGTTCCACAACCTTCTGCCATTTTTCAGGCAACTTCATAATTCCCTCTTCCCAAAACTTTTTATATTTTTGAGGAAAGAACTGTTCCAGGTGCCTTTTACAGTCTTCCAGGGAATGGAAATGTTTTCCATTAAGAGAATTTTGTAAAGACCAAAATAAATGGAAATCCAAAGGTGCAATGTCGGGTGAATATGGCGGATGAATCAGAACTTCCCAGCCAAGCTGTACAATTTTTGCCTGGTCATCAAAGAAACATGAGGTCTTGCGTTATCCTGATGGAAGATTATGCATCTTCTCTTGACTGATTCTGGACACTTTTCATCAAGTGCTGCTTTCAGTTGGTCTAATTGGGAGCAGTACTTGTTGGGATTAATCATTTGGTTTTCTGGAAGGAGCTCATCATAGAGGACTCCCTTCCAATCCCACCATATACACAACATCACCTTCTTTGGTTGAAGACCAACCTTTGGTGTGGTTGGTGGTGGTTCATTTCACTTGCCCCACAATCTCACCTACACCACATTATTGTACAGCATTCACTTTTCATCACCCATTACAATTTGTTTTAAAAACAGAAACTTTGTTACGTTTCAGTAGAGAATCACGTGAGGAAATATGGTCAAGGAGGTTTTTCTCACTTAACTTATGTGGAACCCAAACTTCAAAGTGATTAACATAACCAAGTTATTGCAAATGATTTTCAACGTTTGACTTGGATATTTTGAGTATGTCGGCTATCTCCTGCGTGGTATAACGGTGATTGTTCTCAATTAATGTCTCGGTTTGATCTCTATCAACTTCAACTGGTCTACCCGATCGTGGAGCATCGTCCAGTGAGAAATCTCCAGCATGAAACTTTGCAAACCACTTTTGACACGTTCGATCAGTCACAGAACCTTCTCCACACACTGCACAACTCTCTTTTTGTGTTTCAGTTGCATTTTTACCTTTCTGGAAATAATAAAGCATAATATGCTGAAAACGTTCCTTTTTTTCTTTCATCTTCAATTTAATAATGGCTATACAAAAATTCACCAATTTTGATTTTTTTTCTAATGCACGCTGATATGACAGCTGTCACATTACAATCTAACAAAATTGCTTCAAATGAAGTTAAAGACAACTAAGCCCTACCAGAGCCATCTTATGGAAAAACCGAATGAACCTTTTGGCCAACCCGATAGATAGATAGATAGATCTCAAACATATACATTACACATACATTACACATATGGGATCATACTATATATACTACTGTGTAGCTTTTCTAAAATTTTACTTTTTAAAGTTTATTTCTTTGAAGTATAACCGATTTACAATATTAGTTTCTACTGTATAGCAAAGTGATTCTGTCATATATATATTCTTTTCCATTATGGTTTATTACAGGATATTGAATATAGTTCCCTGTGCTATACAATAGGACCTTGTA